ATATATATATATATATATATATAGAGAGAGAGAGAGAGAGAGAGAGATACATATAGAAATACATAAAATTTCATATGTAATAATCCACTTATATCATTATAACACTAATTAAAATAATGGTAATAGAAGGGAGATCAGTAGAGCAAGCAGATCAGGGGAGGGAGAAGAGGAGGGAAAGGGAAGGTGCTGGGAAATGAGATTGATCAAATTGTTATGTGCATAAATGAATGATATAATGAATCCTTCTTTTGTGTATAATTATAAGGCACTGATAAAAAATTTAAATCTACGTGATGACATCTTCACACCCAAAGTGATAGTATTGGGAGGTGGGGGTTTGGGGAGGTGATTAGTGAAGAGATTGGGTCCCTCAGGAATGGCATTAGTACCCCTATAGAAGGGACCACACAGAGCTGCTTCACCCCTTTCACCACATAAGGCACAGGGAAAGGAGCTATTTATGAATCACAAAGGGGGTCCTCACGGGACACTGAATCTGCAGCACCTTAACCTTGGATTTCTAGCTAGAGAAATCAATTCCCCTTACTACAGGTCACCCAGTCTGTGGTGTTCTAAAAAAGCAACCTAAGCAGAACAAGCTGGCCTGGAAGACCACCAAGAAGAGAGGGTGGGCCCCTAACTCAGAAACACCCAACACCAGCAAGGATCTTTTGTCCTGATAAAATGTCCACCCAAGATTCATGTTCAAGTTCAAGCGTGAGGTTGTTCCAGAAGATGCCCAGGCTAGATGGTGAGTCTGGTTCTCACCTTCACAACTACTCTAACCTGGGCTCAGGTGAGGCTTTCACCTGGCCCTCTCCCCACCAAGGCCGTCCCTCTGAGTGCCTCACAGTCAGTGGAAATCCCCAGAACAGGCCCAACTCACTCCTAGGATTACCTGGAACACTCTACCACCACTACCGTTACCCGCCTTCTGCTCCCTGAAATGCTCCACATCTGACTATTCCAGTTCTCAAACATCAGCATTGTCCTCAGTAGTGCCACGTCCTCATGGGGGCTGTCCCACTACCCTGCGCCTTGCATGAAGCCTGCACCTCTCCCTTCTGAGAACCCACTTATGGGAAATGGCACACAGAGCTTTGGGGACTCCTCACCCCAGGCCAGGACCACACAAGCCCCAAGTGCTATGAAGAGTGGAGATGACCTTTCCATGATGCTCCAGCCATGCTCACATCTGACATTCCTGCTGACTCAGCGCCTTGCTCACTGCAGGCCTCAGCCTCTCTCTGCTGACCAAGAGCTTCTCTAGAGGCCGCATCAACGAATGCTAGCTGGTCTGGCCCTCCTAACCACAGCCTGAGCTTCAGAGGGTCTCTGCTCCATACCAACTGGACTCACAAGTTTGACTCCAATTTTTGCAACAATTTCAAATAATCACTGCTTCCAAAGTAGTTGCAGACTGACTCTTTAGTTGTTGGATAACAAACCACTTAGGAACAAACAGTTGTGAGCCACTGACACAAGAACAGAGCTGCCTTGCTGTGACCTCTGGGTGCCCAGCAGGCATCATTTTTCATCCAAGGTCACCCAGCAACACCAACACACAGGACGGTACTTTCCTGAGCTAGAGCAGCACCTAGCTCCCTCAGCTCCCTGGACAGCCAGGAACTCTACCAGGATGGGGCACATCTACCAAGCCCTGGCACATCCACCAGAGAACGCCTCCCACTCACCCAGGTTCCTCTCCTCCTCTGCCCCGCCTACTTTGTTCCTGGATCTGCCTCACTAATCAAGTGCCAAATGCTGCCTCCACCCACAGCCTCCACCTCCCTAGACAGGCTCCTTGTAGCCTGCTCAAAGCCACGTTCCAGTGGCCACAGCCAGACACATGTGATATTTACTGAGACCTCATGCTTGGGTTGCAGTGCCCACTACAGGGAGGGACAGGGCTGGAATGCAATTCAGTGGGAAGAGGTTCATGGTGAAGAAGCAGAGGGAAAAGTCAGTGTCTATCCACCCATAAAGTCAAGCCATGGTCTCTCTGGTTGTGACAATGGCTTGTGATGTATCAGCCTCATGTGGCATGGCCTTCACCCTCTGTCATACACTGTCCTGGAAGATTTATGTGGGTTCACACATTTCATCCGCACAAACCGAAGTGCGCTCCTCACTGAGCAGAAGTCCACGTTTCCCAAAAGAGAACTATGCAAGAATCCTGCCCAAGATGTTTAATTTCCTCACAACCCCAGACATCCTAGCAAAGGCATAAGACCCCTCTGGACACCATGAAGCCAAGATGCTGTGTCCTCTGTTGGTAATACTCTTCCAGCCCAGCACCTTGATGCCCAAGTCACAGGTCATATCCAACTCAATCCTCACCCAAACTGCTCTGCCTCAACCTACAGTGGCCCCCGACCTGGGCTACAGAGCAGCTGCAGGTCCTCTTTAAGGAAAAACAAACAAACAAACCCATGTCTTCACCAGGATCCTCCAGGACAAAGTCACTGTGCTCCTCCCTTCCTGTCCTGTGCCCATAGACCCGAAAGAGGACAAAATGTTCCAAAAAAGACTATTGGGTAAAAAAATCACAGAGAGAAAAAGAGAAAATGGAAGTGAAGACAGACAAGAGAATGAGAGTAAAGAAAAGGAGGAGAAGAGAGAGAGGAAGGAGGATGGGGAAGAAGGGAAGGATAGGGAAAGGGGACTGGCAGTTGGCATCGCAATTAGACTGGTCTGCCCACAGGTCTCAGAAGACCTTGCAGCCACCAGCTCAGGAGCATCTGAAGAGAAGCCTTGCCCTTGTTCTAGGAAGTGGCGAGGGGCGGAGAGCCATACATCCTAGCCTGAGAGTCACCCTCCATATCATAGCTTTTGGTTACCTCCCGTGGATCATCCTAAAGGGACGTGGCTTTAACAACGAATCCCTGCAGACAGAGAGCTGCCCCCTGGAAAAGCCAACTCCAGTCCCCCCACAAACCTGTATGGCAGACAGGATATGATGACGGGCAGATGTCAATCCTACCCCACCAGCCTCTCCTGTTCTCTTCTTTAAAGCTGGAACACTGGACCCCATTCCAGAGTTAGAGACAGGTTAGAGCCACAGCTGGTAAAGCCTGATTTAGCTGACACAAAGCAGTCCTCAATTAAGGCTCACACTCCTATAATCCCAGCTACATGGGAGGCTGAGGCAGGAGGATCGGAAGTTCAAGTCTAGCTGGAATAACTTAGACAGTCTCAAATAGAAAGGGCTATGGTTGTAGTTCAGCGGTAGAGTTCCCCTAGGTCCAATCCCAAATACTGAAATAAGTAAATAAATAAATAGCTCGGCCCCTTTGCCCAACGATTGCAGGTGTCCTAAAGCCAGGGCCAGCATTGCACACCTGGACAGAAGACATGAAGCAGCACATGGTGGGGAGAATCTCTCTCTCCTCCTCACCCTGCCCCTCTCTACTAACCCCAGGGCAGAAGGGAGGCTGCACTGCACTCCAACCACAGGCTTTGCAAGCCCAGGGCCCTTCTCCTTGAGGCAGCAGAAGAGAGTGGCTGAAAAATGAGCTTGTGAAATTAGAGTAACCACCTACACCCTCGGCTTTCCCACCTGTGAAATGGGAAGTGCATTTCTTTCATGAGATTGTCATGGGGATGGAAGGTGATTTTGTGCAGTGCTCAGCACAATGCTGAGCAAAATTAGGGCTCAGCCACATGGCCACACTCCTTAGTGACCCTTATACCCTCTCAGGTGCCTTCTCCACCTGTAGAATTCCACCCTATGAAGCAGCACAGACTGAAGCTGCAGGACTCAGAGGGCATGCGAAAGATGTGACTGTATCCCCAGGGTCTCTACCCTCATTATCCATATGGATTTTTTCCCCCCAGAGCTGAGGATCAAGCCTAGGGTCTTGAGCATGCTAAGCACATGCTCCACTACTGAACTACACCTGTCCTTATTTTTGTGAAAATCTGGAATGGGCAAGGTGGGGATTTTCCCCCATTTTTAAGAAAGAGTTTTAAAATACAAACTTCTGGAGGAAATTAATGAGGATCTTCAAAGACTTTGGTTGAGCCTTTTATATATACTGCAAAGTGAACACCTGAGTCACCTAACCTTTATCAAAGCAGGTCTGCCAAGGCCATGTAAAGATCGTATCTAAGTTATTCTCTGCATCCTGGCAGCTATACATATGCCTTAAAGGTTTTCTTTATTCTAGACAAAATCTTTACTAAAATTATCTTACCTGTATAAATTCCTTTGTATTCAAGATAGATAAAAGACAATGGAGTATAGTGGCACACATTTAAATTCCAGTGTTTGGGGAGAATGAAGCACCAAGATGGCAAGTTTAAGGGAAGCCTCAGTAATTTAGTGAGGCTTTAAGCAACTTAGTGAGGCCCTAAACAACTTAGCAAGACCCTGTCTCAAAACAAAAACTAAAAAATTTCTGGGGATGTGACTCAGAGGTTAAGTATCCCTGGGTTCAATCCCAGATATCAAAACAAAACAAAACAAAAAAAACCGAGAGAGATAAAACACACACACACACACACACACACACACACACACAAACAATTAGTCTCCTCCCAAAATGAACACACCCAAGAAACAAAATTATCTGAAGAAATCAGTGTTTTGATCCTTAACCAAGCTATAATAACACCAGTACTCTGGCTCTTAATGCTAAACACATATTTTATTTCTATCGATACACCCTAGGAGGGCTATGATCATGTTAAGATTACAAATTATGGTCAGGAAATGGGGATGTCCCGAGTTCAGTCACCATATCAGGACTTCATTTTCAAGTTTACATATATAAAATGGCTCTACAGTCAAGGACACTAAAGAACAAAAATTCGTTCTCTCCCTTTAATTAAAATACTTTTACTCAGAAAACTAACCAAATGCATTAAGATAAAGGCTACTTTTCTACCTTCCTACAGATTTTTTGGAGGGAGGGTTTCAAAAACAGGGGCTGTTACTGTTTTACGATGAAATCTTTTCTGTCTTTTGGGTCATTATTACTGAAACAGTGGGCACTCACCATGATGTCCCCTTTCAGCAGCTGGGCCGGCTCTATGACAATACAGATTCTGCTGGGGTTTTCTGAACCAACATTGCTTTGGGATAAACAAGAAGGTACATCATTATGCAATCTCATGATTTTGTGGACAGAATACATGTTGAGAAAAGAACATGTACATAAAATGTTCCCATTAACACAGAATCTAATTTCTGAGACTCCACTCTATAAAAATGTGTCCAAAAGGCTTAAGAAAATTCCTAGGCCTTGGAGAGCCCTTACAGCAACATCAGGGTCAGTGACTTACCAGAAGGCACTGAGACCCTACCCCAGGGGCCCAATTATAGAGAAGACCAAGGAGCCCCGGAAAGGTGCAGTTGGATGCAGCTTCAACAAGCTACAGGTAAAATTTTCAAAGTGCCATCAATATGCATAGCATCCAGTGTGAACCCAGAAATGGGACTAAATAAATAAATAAAAAGGTGCTGTGTCCAACTACAACTAAAAATTAAATACTAAAAAAAGAAAAACTGATGCATATAAAAAATGCAAAGGAGAGAGAAAGAAAAATCATAAGGGAACCTTGTCCTGGGAATCTTTCCAATATGTCCACTTCCAAACAGCAATGGCCCTCTCCACTGGAGGCTCCAGTGTTCACCCCCTTGATGGAGCCAACTTAAATGGCAGGAACACAGGACACCTGTGTACGTTGGACCATAGGCTGCCCCAGGGCTTTCCCTTCTGCATGCTCCTTGGGCTCCTTGGAATTTCTCACCTCATTGCCTACACCCTCTTCCCATGAGAAAGGTAGCCAGGCTCTACCACGATCCCCAGGATGCCACAGGACAAGCTCCAGCACTTACTAGACCCCTGATGTATACACAGGCTGCATGGCTTGGTAGAGCTTCAGAAAGGGCCGGCACACTGAAAGAAAGACACACACCAGGTAAAAATGGGATCAGAGTCTAGCCCAAAAAGAGAGGCAGGTGCAGAGAGATCACAGACTGCATAGGCTGCCAGAGAGACTGGGGAAACAGCTCCCAGAGTTGCCCACATTCAGTGAGCATAAGGAGTCTCCCGCCCCTGCAGGAAATACATTTGGTCCTATGAGCCGCAGAAAGACAGCTTGACCTTTATCCAGACACCTACTAGGGCACTAAATAGTGAGACCAGGAGGGCTCAAAATCCACTTTCTGCTCAGTAGGTCCACTCTGGTCCTGATGACCAGGGGGACTGGAAGGCATAGATACACTTTAAAATGGAAGAAACAAAGTCAGGTGCAGTGGCACACACCTGTAATCCCTGCTAACTCAGGAGGCTGAGAAAGGAGGAGTACAAGTTTGAGACCACCCTGAGCAACTTAGTGAGATCCAATCTCAAAAGAAAATTCAAAAGGGCTGGGCATGTAACTCAGTGATAGAACCATCACCTAGATGCCCTAGATTTATCCTCAGCACTGCAAAAGGATGAAACTGCAACTATCTAAATCACATAAGGGAGAAGCAGACAGGATTCTGACACCAGCCATGTGCTGTGAGCACTTACATGGGACTGAGGAGGGGACAAGGTCTTGACCACCCACAGGCTATGGGTACCTGCATGGGACTAGGGACCAGGGCAAAAGGTCCTGATGCCAATCCTGTGCTAGGTGCTCTCTCTCTTGAAATCACTTTAAGGTGGAGGGATAAGATGGGATCCTGAAGCAGCTGGGAAATCTCTTTCATGCTGATTTCCCTCACCGCTGTGTGAGCCTGAGACCAAGTGTACAGCTGACCCACAGGACTGCTGGCCTAGGATGACACGGCATTCCAGATTGCTTGTACACAGGCACAGGAGTATTGGTTCCCTGTCCCTCTCCTAACCAACTGTTTCAAACAGTCTCCCAAAGTTGAAGCTTTGTCCACACGACAGAGCTGCTTCTACAACTAGGAAGCTGAGGGACAGATTCAGGATGTCGCAGAATCAGGGAGGGGGCTTGTTACCAAATCACGGGCTCCATGCCATGGAAATCTCTCACCTCCTCCAGTGTCGAAGTTAGAGGTGTGGTGCAGGATGACGAAATGCAGGAACAAGGGTGAGGCATTCATCTTCACTGACCCTGAGAGAAGTCCGCTGAGAAACTGCACGTACCTGCAAAGAACAGCGGCTGAGACCCCACAGTAGCACTCTCAGCACTGCACAAGTCTCAGCAGGAGGAAACTGTCTCCTGAGACAATCAGAAGGTCCTGTCCTGCTGCACAACTCAAAGTGGTTATCTGCTGAAGCCTCAGAGGGTCACAGCCCTGGCGGCGGCTCCATTATCAATGCTAGGAACTGCCTACATGGCCTCTCACCAAATAGCAGGGACAAAGAGGCACAAGCATCTCCCATGCCTGGGCACCGACACCTGGGAAGCCTCCTCACCCGTTCCCCAAACCCCGTCCCAGGTCAGGCCAGCATCTGGGGCCACATGATGCAGGCCCAGCAACTCATTCCCCCCATGACTTTCTGCTCCCACTCAGGAGGCCTGAGGAACAGTCAAGGTTCACTCTCACTTGTACATGGCACCTCCCACACCAACCGTAAGAGGTTCTTTGACCTCAGAAGTCCCTGAGCTACTCTTCCCCAAGAGTCTCCTCTTAGGTCCTCTCTTAGTGGCCCAGCTCCAAGGTAAAGACCACTTGGGACTATCATGGGCCTGGAAGATGTGACTTTTCCTGTCTGAATTCTAGGCTCAGCCCTGCGCACTCAGAGGGAAGTTTCTATATTAGGCGCGTGTGATCCACAGGGTCCTCATGAGACACAACAAGGCAGCAATGACCGGAACATGTGTTGGACCCTCCTCCAGCTCTGATGTTCCCTCGGCCTTGGGCCTCCCTCCCTGTGCCCTGCCTGACACTCCCTGATTCCCTGTGTACCTGGTAGCCCAGAGCTGCCCCTGCCCTGAGTTCCCTGACAGCAGTTCTAATGATGCACCTCATGCTATTTGAGGGTGGATAAATGAGGCACATTTGGCATCCAACAAACTGTCAATTAAGATGGGAGTCTTTCAGTGGTTGTAGGACTGTGAGATAAGACCGGTAGTCCATCTGTCATTTGTCGCCTACTTTCTCTGTTCATCTAGTTTTACTCACCTAAATTTTACATCCTGAGTCACCCTCTAACACTGGGTGGCCCTGAGCACAAGTGACAGCTCTTCCCCAGGCCCTCCTGTGAGAGCCCCAGCCCAATGTATACAGTCCATGGGCTCCTGGCTATGGGTGTGGGCAGTTCTGCAATAACCACTCAGGTAAGCTGGTCCTTTACAGGCTGGACCTGCTTGGGCCTATTGTGCACCCAGACCTCAGAATAAAATTGGTACTTGTTTCACAATTTCATGGAAATGTGGAACATTCTGCAGCACCCAAGGGCTCCTGTTACCAACAGTGTGAGAAGCTGACTTTAGCTGAAGTCAGAGATGTCACCACTTTCTGCAGGGGACAAACAGCTGTCCTCCAGGAAGCTGAGATCGCTCCTTGCTCAGAAGCCATTAGCTCCTGTCCCACTCTATGGGCAAAGCCTCCATTTCTACCCAACTGGGGTTATTGCTCATGTACAAAAGACCACAAAAAGTTTCTTCCTTCAGATGAGTAAGGTCAAGGTACGGCAGCAGAATACTGTTTCTCCACAAGCTCCCAAAGAAGGACACAGAGTCCAAGACCACAGGCCCACTGTTGACCATGGGGTAAAAGAAAGAAAACCACTTGCATCTGCCCCAGGACTCTGTCTCTGAAGCAGAGAGCCTGCCCTGCCTGAAATTGGCTCTCAACAGTCACCAGCTCTCCATCTCTGTCTATGAAGGGTCACTCAGTTCACAGCTTCACCAATCCAAAAAATAATCACAGTCAGGCTTCTGTGCCCATAAGTTCTATATCCACAAGTTCCACCAAACTTAAATCAAAAACTTTGGTAGGGAAAGAAATGCATCTGTATTGAACATGGACAGGTTTTTGTTTTGTTTTTTCATTATTCCCTAAAATATACAGTGTCAACCACTATTTACATAAACTCATTTACATTTATAAGTCATCTAGATGTGATTTCAAGTAGACAGGAAGATGCATGTAAGTTTCATGTAAATACAAGATCTTTCTGTATAAGGAACTTGAGTATCTGCAAATTTTAGAATCATGAGGTTTCTGGAACCAATCCCCTGACGATACCAACGGATAACTATACTAATAATTTGAAGGTTCTGAGGGGTTCCTTATCTTTCTGCCAATAGCTTCTTTAGAAGTTGCTGTTGAGATTTTGGAGCTTGTCGGCCACAAATCCTAAGCTTATTATTCAATCTCAGAAGTGATTATTGTGAGCTTGAATTTGAATTGATTTCTTGGCCTTGGTCCTAAAATAGTCCACAAGGAACCCCTGTCCACAGGGTGTCTGTAGGACAATGAAGTCTCCCTGCTCCCATAAAGGCTGTCATTGCACATTCTTTGGTCTCAAACATCCCTCCAGATTTCTCTTACACATGCATTCAGTTGTTCACCAACTCAATAATTATTTGGTGAGCATCTTCTAATGCAGGCACTGAGCAACATATCAGAAAAAGATGGAGAATTAGGGGCAGTCCCCTGATCTTGGGAGCAAGGCATTAGGCTTGGAATGCAAAGCTGAACATCACATTTCATCAATTACAGATGCACAGCAGGCAGATGCACCAAAGCTGTGGGCATGTTAAAGCGAGAAGTATTCCCCTTCGCCACACTCTTTTAATGTTATTAAAAAGTTGCTGGTTCAATAAATAATAAGAACAAAAAGGAGACAATAAGGAGGCCATGCCTCCCTGGTGTGTGCTAGACATCTTTTTGCATGGCTCACATCTTGTTAACACCCTATCTTCTGCGCAAGAGGTCATATCTATTCCCATTTTGGGAACTGCTCAGTGAAAAAATAATGCTTTATGGTTCAAAATAGAACAAGGGCTATTTAACTATAATACTAATAATATACCAGGTTTTTAACACAATTTGCATTCCTTGAGGAGCCTGTTGTTCAGACACAGCCAGGCTCCAACCCATAGTCCCACATGTAGCCCACATTCCTCCAACATGCCCCAGTCTGAGCAGAGACAGACCCAGGCCTTTGGAGACACCCACAACAAAAGGAGAAGGCGCCTCTGGCAGTCCCTGAAATTGTTCTCCATATCTCCTGACACAGCCCTTGGCTTCACCAGAGAAAACAGATGTGGAGGATCATGACTCACTTACAAAAGGTCGGGATACTACGATGCTGTCTCCAAGATAGAAAACAATTTTCAACTGCCTTGCTAATTCTTGGACAAATTGCCTACTATTTGCCTTAAAGTAAAACTGTGATGGAGATATGTGCTGGGCTCCACGGGTTGCCATCTGCCAAGGAAGTACATCTGGAAGAGGAAGATGGTGCTTCTCACTGCACACCCCACCCTGCTCAAGTTCCTCTTGACCTTAGCCAGGAGGGCAAGCATCAAAGGAGAAAGTCCTGCTCCACCATGGCCATTCCCCAGCATTTCCAGGAGCCATGTTGAGGACAGATAGGGGTGGTGGGCAATGTCAAAGAGAAATCCTCCCTGGCTTCAGGGAGCTGGTGCACAGGAGTTGGCACATGGTTGCTCAACCTTTGGCCTTTTTCCTATCAGTAAAATTCTACTAACATTCAACTATGTTCACTTACTTCCCTTTGTCTATGGTTGCATTTGTCTTAGAACAATGGTGATAGAGACCACGCAGTCTGGAAAGCATGAAGCATCCACCCTTTAGCCTGTTACAGAACAGGTTCACTGATCTCCCGTCTAGCAGGCAGAAACAAGTTCCAACATGATCATGGAAATTAGAACTCACTGGCTGCAGAACAGGAAGACCCCCACTGTGAGTGAGGAAAAGGGGATACTGGGTCTACCTCTCTCAAAGTAAACTGCAGTGTAGGGGCTCTCACCAGACCCAGAGGGTGGCTCATTTCCTCATTTCTGCCAGATCAAGCCCTTTCCTCATGTTCTTCTGCACAATTCAAGGGCACTGTTGAGGGGCAGATTAGAAGTCCTCTGCTTGCATTTGTCTAAAGGTAATATCCTATTCATCTTTTCCCTCTGGGCTCCAGGATGGATACGTACCATTTCTGGGAAGGCTGCATTAAAGCCGAAACTTTGTCATCATAAAACAACTTCATTGCAAATCTGTCAAGGGCCTGGTCAGCACTGGGGAAGAAGAGAGAGAGACAGAATTAACTAGGTGGAACTGCCAGTCACCATGAGGCTGAGTGGCCTGAGACATACATCCTGTGCCTGTTCAGGGCAACCACCTCCCACTGGGGGCTTTGTGCTTTTACTCCACCTGTGCACACTCGTGCCAAGCTTTTCTTCTTAGACTTCATTTCCCTGCAGGAATATGTTCAGCTCAAAGTGGGAACCACACCTGCAAGGTTTGAACTCCTACCTGAAATACAGGTACCTTATCTAAGGGTGTGACGCCTAGACGTGCCGTACACTCAGCTCAGCAGGAGAAGAACTGGCTAAGGCTCCTCAGCTAGCAGGTGGCTGACCCAGTCTCAGGACCACAAAGATATGAGGAGCAAGCCCAGAACATGTCAGAGCATACCCCTGTGAAGATCCAAGAGACAAGTGTGGGACACTCAGTTCAAAGTCACTTCTCAGAACAGGCTTGAGGAGGGTTGGGGATGAGGCAGCCCAGGATGGGCTGGAAAGGAGTCTGAGGCCTCAGGGTTGCATAAGGACATTTCTGAAGTGACTGCTGCAGGAGGGAAACTGCTTTCCAGCAACATGTCTGACATTCAACTCCAGCTCCAAAATGCCCACAAGTAGTATTCACAGAACCTTCTGGAAACCTCACAGCAGGGCACTCCTGGGTTTTCTGAAGTGACTTCATGATAAATCATGGAACATGATTGATTGAGACTTAACAGGTGAGCTAAAGGCTTCCTTGAAAATCTGACAAAAGTAAGGGCCTTCTCCTGAGAAAAATGTGTATGTATCCCTCCAGAAAAAAAAAAAAAAAGATATATTCAGAAATTGTGGACAACTTAAAAACCCAGAAAAAAATATGCAATGAGATAGGCAGAAATACAAAGGAAAAATACTCAAAGTCAATGTTAATGTGATTGACTCCCATTGAATGTTGTATAATGAAGGGCTTGCTGCTTGTATTTATCTGAACAAGGGGCTAGGCTGATGGCGTTTTCCCAAAACAGAAGGGCCCAATTAAGCACTGAATATTTTACAGAGTAAATTTATCATTTAAGTTGAAACATGGAATTATATACCACTTACTGACTATTGAGCACATTTTTGTTTAATTAAATGTTGAGAATACATTTTGGTCAGTGTGTGTGGGGAGGGGGGTTATTTTTTGTTTTTTGTTTTTTGTTTGGTACTAGGGTTTGAACCAGGGGCACTTAACCACCAAGCCACATCCCCAGCCCTATTTATATTTATTACAGACAGGGTCTCACTAAGTTGCTTAAGACCTTGCTAAGTTGCTGAGGCTGGCTTTGAACTCACAATCCTCATGCCTCAGTCTCTCAAGTCACTGGGATTATAAGCGTGCACCACCACACCTGGCATGGCTGGTGTTTTTGTTCAATATTAATCGTATTATTACTTTTAATAATATCATTTCTGGCTTTCTTTTGAACTCATATTTTTATGGTGCTGATACGAGTGTTCTTTGTGTCTTGAAGTTTCTTTCTTTCTTTTTTTTTTTTTGTTTATGTTTCTGTTTTGTGCTATTTGCAGTTTTGTGATAAAGGCCTTAAACTGGTATGCTCCTCTGATTAGTTCTAATACATAACCTAAGGGAGAACACTGCAGGAATGATACAAAATGTATAACATGAGGGTATTCATGCAAGCCCTTGAGGAAAGAAAAAGCAGAAGCAACTTAAATTCTAAAGAAAAACGTCATGTAACCGGGACAGGTAAAACCAGCAAACACTTAAACACAGAAAATTATCTATAGAACAGAGTACTGGACAGCTGCTCAAACAATACTGGGGCAGGTATTCAGGAAACAGTGTTAATATAGAAAAACAGTGACAGAAAGTGCTGTGGTGTCAGACCACTTAAATGGAAAGCACTTAATCCTGTTACTCCTCCTAAAAACAGCAGCATGAATGATAGCTCACACCTGATTGTCAGTGCTGTTCCAAGCGTCTTGCAAGCAGTGACACATGGAATCCTCACAACACTCAGTAGATTCAGCTATAACTCCCTGTCCCCATGAAAATACTGAGGCTCAGAAAGGCTCACATGGACTCTCTGGAGAAGGCAGGGTTTTTAAGCAGAGACCCAGGAATGTGCTTTAAACAAGCAAAGCTTCCTCTCCATGCTTCCCCCAAGTGCAAGCACCCCCAACAGCATGCAGAACTTCAGTTCAGACAGAACTGCATTGTGGGGCAGAAAGGCTCAGGGTGGTCTCTGTCTAGAACCAGCAGGCTAAATTTGGTCTCTGACCAAATACCTCTGGCTTAACTGAGGGGTCGATGTGACACAGGAATCTCAATGTGTCTGGCACACGCACAAATGCTTATTCTCACCCAGAGGGGCTCTTATTTTCACTCAGGGGTTGGGTTTCCTCCCTGGCAGGCACCAGCTCCCCAATTTGTTTCCAGAGAAAACATTCTGAAAGTCAAATTTCACTCCTTCTCACTAGCAAGGAAAAGGTTCATTGGCTTCTATGAGTAGGCTTGTATTTCCTCAGCCTGGAATAGCTCAGGCTTCACAAGGTAGCCATTGAGAAGCAGGGTTGGTACAAACACAAAATCCACAAGGAATGATATTTTCTTTTTCTTTTTTTTTTGCAGTGCTGGGGATCGAAACCCAGGGGCTTGCACATGCATATGCTCTACCAGTGAACTACACCCCCAACCCAAGAATGATACTGTCCAAACTGAATTTTAGTATACAAGGAGATCCTGGCATTTGAAAGCCTATTAGGGTACATAAACCATGGATGACCAGTGCCTGAGACTAGATCAAAGCTGAGATCCTTGTGACCATGTAGTGTCTATTTAACTTCTAGCAGAGGGGACCCTGGTGGCTCCTTTAAAGTCCCCACAATTACTATCTCACCTGCTGGCCCAAACCAGCTTCCCACTCAGAGGCTGGACAAGCTGCCCCATGTCTCTGAGCCTCCGTTTCTTCATCTGTGAAATGGGAATAGCAATAACTGCCTCACAGGTTAATTGGGAGGATTCAGGAAGAATAGTAAAACATTCAGTGTCCTTCCCAGAGGCCAAGTGTATGTAAAAAAAAAAAAAAAAAAATGGTGTGGCTAGATTAGGTCTCCCTTATTGCTAGATTAGGTCATACCTTATTTATAAGGTATGACCTAATCTAGCAAGAATTCTGCTCTTACTTTTAACAGCAATAATATTACCTCTTGTCTTTATTAGTAAATGACTAGGCTCATTCAGTTTTCATGCCTCCATGAAAGTCCTTGGCATCCATCATACACACCCTCAAATAGGAAAATGTCTTTTTCATTTTGTAGTGTAAATCCTTCTCTGGAAGCTGGGTTTTACACACAGATCACTATGGTACTGCGGACAGGAAATATGTCCAGGGTAACTCCATTAAAAGATCACCATCCACCCCTCATAGTCTCAGTGTCCAACACCCCATGATGATGAGCCCTGGTCTCCATCCTACCTGGCCGAGACGTTGGTGAAGTGCATGGAGGATGATATGACCACTCCGATGCGCCCTTTCCCGCCCTGCAGGAAACAAAAGATGAACAAATGTTCTCTGGAAACCCGCAGCTTTCAGAAATGCAATTTGACAGAACGCTCGCTCACCAGAGTTCTCTGTCAGAACAGAATGACAGAGAGCTTGCTTTAGAGGGTAGGCCAGCTTTGTTCCCTCTGCCTCCCTGTTAGGAGTAAGCCGCACTCAAGTGCAGCCTCCAGAGTAGGGAACCTGCAGGCAGGGAGCCCACAGCCAGAGCAGGTGTCAATCAGGGTGTCTGCAGAAGCCCTGCAGGGCAGACTTAGCCAGCAACAGACATTTCACCACCTCCCAATTAGGCTGGACAAAACTGTGCCAGGAACTGTAGAAATTAGCATGACTTAATTACCCCGTGAAACAGGAGTAAATGCCCGCTCACAGGCTGACAGCAACCAGGGCTGCACACAGGGCAAGACTGCAGATTCACCACCCTGGTGCCTGATACCACCCAAGCTCCCGGGCACCCCCACTTGGCCTTCCTCCTTACAGACAGAGGGACCCTTGTGCCAGGAAGCTGCTGTGATGGGAAAAGGATCCCTCAAATCATAACCACAGACAGACGCAGCCCAGTACACAAGTCAACATGACCAACAGCAACAGAAGGGGAAGCCATGAGACAGGATGCACCCACCCACACACTGCACCTTCAAAAACACACCACCATAACCTACTTGCTAACAGCAGTTGGGAAATCACAGCTGGCCAGCTCTTTATCTCTTTTCCTACAAGCTATGAATGAGCTAAGAGTCCTTACATTTTTACACCAATGAAGAAAAAGTAAAAAAAAAAAAAAAAAAAAAATGAGATTCTGAGGCATGCGAAAATTATATGATGTTAGAACATCAGTGTCTACCACTGAGTCTGAGGGGGACACAGCATGCATATTTCTTTAAAGAACCCTCCACCTACACTGCAGCATCAGGTTTGAGGAATTGCAGCAAGACCAGGCAGCCTACAAAGCCTAAAATACATACTACCTGGATCTTTTAAGAAGTTTGCAGAGCCATTTGGTATGCAGCTCCCTAACTCTATCCTCAAAAAGGAAAGAAAAATCCAAGTCAAACTTGCGATCAAGCAACAATCACATGCAAATGTCACCAGGATTATTCTTCTCTCTGTTCTGTGAAAGTTAAAGGCATTTCTGATAGATACTCAAAGCAGGAACTCGACAAATTCTTTGTTATTGAATCCTAGCATATAGAGTCATTAACTGTAAAGCTACTAACATGTTTTTTTACATAAAATTATGTTTGAGGGCAGAAATTCATCTACAAGAAACAACACCTCAGCCAAAAGCAGGCACACAAGTTGTGACCATTACTGCTGATATCTTCTATCAGTCATTTTTGTGGGACTAATTATGGACACATAAAGTATATACTAAGAAATCTCAGGGAAGAGAGACAGCAACATATTAACTGTGAGGACTTCAATATCCCCACTTTCAATAATGGACAGATCATCCAGATGGAAAACCAATAACCAAATCAACCTGTGAAACATACAGAACAACAAACATGCAGATTGCACCATCTTCTCAAGAGAATGCAAAATATTTTCCAAGATAGAAGGCATGTTAGTTCACAAAACAAGTCTTAACAGATTTACAAAGACCGAAATCATATCAAATATCTGTTCTGACCACCATGGTATGAAACTTTAAATAAGTAACAGGAGGAATCTTGGAAAATTCACAAATATGTAGAAGTTAAACAACATGCTCCTGAAAAACTATTGGGTCAAAGAAGAAGTTAAAATATCTTGAGACAAACAAAAATGGAAGAAGCACACATACTAAAATTTATGGGACACAGCAAAAGCAATTTCAAGAGGAAGTTTAGAGCAATAAACTACCTCAAAACAAAAAAAGTTTTCAAACAGCCTAACATTATATGTCAGGAAATTAGGAAAATAAGAACTTAGCCCAAAGTTGATAGAAGGAAGGAACTAACAAAAATCTAAGCAGAACAAAAGAAGACTCAAAAAGCAATAGAAAACAGCAGCAAAACTAAGAGTTAGATATTTGAAATGACAAACAAAATTAGCAAACATTTAGATTAACTAAGATTAATAAATATAAGACCCAAATAAATAGAAATGAAGGAAAGAGGAACATATCACAACCAACAGCACAGAAATATAAAGGATCACAAGAAACTACAATGGATGATTCTATACTCACAATGAGATGGATAAACTAGAAGAAAAGCCTAGAAGCATACAACCTCTAAGACCAACTCATAAACAAACAAAAAATCTGAACAAAACTATAATAAACAGGGAGATTAAGACAAAAATAAAAAGCCTCCCATCAAAGATAAGCTCAGGGCCAGATGGTTTCATGGAAGAATTCTATTGAACATTTAAAGAAATAATCTCAACCCTAAAAAACTGAACATTTCCAAATTCATTTTCCTGGGCCAGGATTACCCTGATATGAAACCTTTCCTTGAAAAAGCCATATAACAAATATTTTAGGCTTCATGGACTTCATGGTCTTGGTGCAGATCCTCAAATCTCAACCACGATGTGGGTGGAAATAGCTATGATAAGCGAAAAGAAACGGGGGTTGGGCTGGGGATGTGGCTCAAGCGGTAGCGTGCTCGCCTGGCATGCGTGCAGCCCGGGTTCGATCCTCAGCACCACATACAAACAAAAATGTTGTGTCCGCCGAAAACTAAAAAAAAAATAAAATAAATATTTAAAAATTCTCTCTCTCTCTCTCTCTCTCTCTCTCTCTAAAAAAGAAAGAAAGAAAGAAATGGGGGTAGCCAAACTCCACAAATGAAACCTGAACTTCATACAACTGTCACCTAAAAACACCTCTTAACTCACAGGTGGTAGGAAACCAGGTGGCAGTCAGAATCATCTCATGGCGTTGGTTTTGTTTTATTTTCTGGCCATGCTGGGGATCAAATCCGGGGCTGCATGCACGCCTTGCAAGCGCTCTATCACCAAGCTACATTCCCAACCTCCAGCTTTTAGTGTAGGCAACAATCTCTTGGATTTGAACAAATTTGGCCTGATCGCAATAAAAGTCACAGAATTCTTGACTGCAGGAATTTGCTGTGAGTATTCTTCATCACGGACGTCAAACCTGAGGGTGTGATGTGAATAGAATCTCCCCAAAGAAGCCCAGCCTACCTGCTCAATCCACAATCGGGGGGCAGCTGAGAGGGGTGAGAAGGAACACACCCACAGAGTTCTACACTGCATCAAACAGGAGAGGGGGATGTGGCAGCCTGACCCCTCACTCAGCTCCTACCCAGGCTGAGACAGGCCCAGCTATGTGAGCCATTCCTGGCATGTGTGGAAGGACACAGATTCTGCAAAGCTGGCGGATTCTGGCCAATGTCAGCAATTCCACCCCCGCAGCTATGATGATGATGAACTTTGGTTAACATGGACATCAGCAATTTCAAATTAAAAGAGGGCTTATCTCTCATGGCCCATTTTTGGAGTGATTCAGAAACAGTTTACATGACAACAGAGTAGTGCAAAGTAACAGTACATCAGTTTGGAAAATCTTCAGTGTGTTCCTGATAAAAGTCCACTAACAGAGCTTTGAATTGCTTATGAAGAGGACACAATTTGGAGATGTCTTGTGGTAATTTCCTCCCTGAGGATCTACAAACTTATTTCAAATTCATTAAAAAACTGAAGTCATCAACTGAAATGAAATGGAGGGCTAAGGGTACTGTATTTTTTAAACCCAGCAACACCAAAGACCCCAATCCTATGAAATCAAAAGCCAAACTCTGCAGGTTTAGTAATTCTTTCTTCCTTCCTTCCTTCTTCTTTCTTCCTCCTTCCTCTTCCTCTTCTTCCTTCCTTCTTTCCTCCTCTTCCTCTTCCCCTCCCTCTCCCCCTCCCCCCTTCTTCTTCTTCTTATTCTTCAGGACAAGTAAGAAGACCTAATGGCAAAGTCATGCAGAGCCTGTCCTACCAGCTGGAAGTTAATTATGGAAACATGGCTCAGCTACTTCTTGTGATCAGCACTGATCTCCTTAGGGTTTCTCCAACCACTGAAGCCCAGCTGGCCCCCCAGAGTATGTGGGAGATGGGGACACTCACCCTGCAGTGGATGACAACCACATGCTGGGGGTCACTGTTTAGCCAGGACTCCTGTGCCTTGCATATGGTACATATCTTGTCGAGGGGTGGTGCATGCAGCTCTGGCCAGCCCACATCCATGATCTGCAAAGAGAAAGAGCTGCCTTAGTTTCCAACTCCTGAAGCCTTCTGAGGTCATCTCATAATCACTTCTTTCATCTATTAATATAATTCATTCGAGAATGAATAACAATGCTGCACAGTCCTTTTTTTAAAAAGCAATGAGCATCATGGCCAGGTTCCTTTCCTGGAAAGAAGACAATGCATTGTCACCCACAGGCTTCTGCCAGGGGTTGATCTGCTCTTTTGCACCAAGGTGACAATTCTAGAAAGGCCTTTTGGAGGCACTAATGGTGCAGGGTTCTGTAGGGAGAGACTAAGGACCTCCAAGATCTAAAAGGAGGAGTCCCTGGTCCAAGCCACTGCTAAAATTCTTCCCTCAGATTAAAAACCAGAGTCAGGGGTGCATGGAGCATCACGGGGACAAAGGCCGATCCTATAGTCTTGGGACACAACAAACTCCCCCAAAGGCAGGAATGTGCCCATGAAAGAAAAATAAAGTCACCAATCCAGTCACTGTGCACAAGAGTTGAAGCTCTGAGCAAAGGACACACACTCCAAACCTAAAGCTCAAGGTGGCCACATGGTGGTGTTGCATTTCCTTGTATTTCCTTTTTTAAGAAGGAAGAAAGGCAGGGCTCCTAGGCTAAAAGTAAATAGAATAGTTTGCAATGAATTGGATACTTCAGAAAACTGCCAAAGCAGGAAAAGTCACATACCCAGGCCAACCGTTCAGACATAACCACTATGACATTTTGATGAATTCCTTGGTCTCTACTATGTATATTTAGCACATTTAAGATACTATCATACATCGATTCTATATTTCACTTTTTGTTAACTTTTATTTAAATAAGTTTGTATCATGTTACTATCAGTTAAGGATCCCTCTGAAAATGCTTAGGGCCTAAATGTTTCAGATTTCAGAGTTTTCCAAATTTTAGACGACTTGAATACACATTAGCAGTTGAGTACCCCTAATCCCAAACCCAAAGTCTGAAATGCTCTGAAACCTGAAACTCTGGGGCACTAAGACAATGCTCAAAAATTGTTAGATTTTGGAATATTCAGATTTGGGGTTTGGGAATTAGGGAATGCTTTGGCTATATTTTTTTTTTTTACTCTAGTAACTGTAAAATATTCCAATATATAATGTATATGCTTATACCTGTATGTATGTATATATAATACACTTGAACTTATACTTACATAGTCTTAAATTTTTTCCCTGAATCCTTGCTATTGAAAGAAATAGTTCATGGTTGTGACTTTAAAGAGGTGGAAAGAGGCCGGTGGGGGGGGGGGGGGGGGGGGAAGATAGCAGAGAAACATCTTTGTAGTGATGGAAATATTCTGCATCCTGACTGTGGTAATTATACAAACCTACACACATGTGAAGGTGGCAGAAAAGTGTGTGTGCACATGGACACACACACAAAAGTGTGTGAAAAACTAGTGAAATGTGTTAGAGGTCTGGGCACTAAACCAATGTCACTTTCCTGGCACTGATACTTTCCTTCAGGTTGATAATCTTTGTCCAAAATGCATAGAGCTAGTTGTGTTTTAGATTTGTTTATTTTTTCAGATTTTAGTAAGCCTGAATGTGTAAAATAAGATACATTTATGTTTCATATACACCTAAGCAATATAGCCCAAATACAATTTTATACCATTATTTTAACAATTACAATTATTTTCAATAATTTTGCATATGAAAAAAAAAACGTTTCCTGAGGTTTCCATAGGCAGCATCAGGCCAGAGCTCAGAAAGTTAGACTGTGAAGCTCTTTGGATATCAGATTTTCAGAGTGAGGATGCTCAGCCTTTATTAGTTTCACAAGATGCCACCACTGGGTGAAGGGTACACGGGACCTCTCTGTATTTTTGTTACTACTTCCTAATAACCTATAATTATTTCAAACTAAAACTAACAATTTCAATTAAAAACTAACCAACAGGTACCCAACACCTCTCATCAAGTCCCATTCCATGAAAAGCAACAAATTACTTTTGCACCAGCAGAACAAGCATTACTTGGCATTTTACAAAACTCAGAATAGAAAGTATAAAGTTCATACCTTTGGGTTAAGCTTTGTAAGGTCATATCTCTTTTCTGAAAGATTTAATACCTGCAAAGGAAAAGCTTTTAGATGAATCATCAATTCCAGAGACAAAAGCAGAAAACACAAGTGCACTTTACACAGTGCCTTTGAAGTATCAAAGATTGTCAAAAATTGAAAAGTACAGATGTGTATGTTGTCACGAACAAAACACAAAATAAGCAAGATAAGCACAGAATACCTGAATCCTTCTAAATCCCTACCTAAATCCTATGCTTTACTTAAACTAGCACTAGCACTAAAACAGGCAATTTACCATTTTATTTTTTAAAAAATTCTAATAGCCACAAAATACTTCAATATATAGAACATATACCAATATCTACATATAGACAGATATATAGCACAGCTTTCCTGGTCTTGCTCTGGACTGCAGCCTTGCTCAGGAGACAGGAGGCACTGTGGGGAGGGCGACTGCATTATGGGGCTGACCCAGGCATGAGAAGCACTGAGCTCTGGACCGGCCATGAGACTCCACCAAAAGTGCACTGAAAAATCAGAGCTATTTGTGGAATCTTGCTAAATACTCAAGTAAAGCAAAATGGTAAAAAGAATATTCCAGCAGAGAGGGGGCCTCAATAATAACTAAACACTCCTTTCACTTTGAAGATGAGGTCTGAGGGAAGCAGAGAGGAGAGGCCTGTCCAGGTCAACCCTCCCATATGGTAGGGGTCACTTTTGCAGTGATTTAGTTTGCAAGGCTCATTCTTAACCCCCTCTTCAGGCACCTCCTGGTTCTACTCAGTGTTGATTCCATCTCAGCCCTGTGAGAATCATCAGGGACACAGCTTCACCTCCTTGGAAGGCCCATGACATTACAGCATGATGAGACACATCACCACGGACATCCTTCATAAATGATTTGTTGAGTTCAGGAACTATTTTGTTTTAAAATCTAATCATCAGATGAATATGGATAAAGAGATGAACCCTGCCTTCTGGACCTTAACTTAAGGTCTGCACAATACCTAATACCTGTGATACACACAGGTGAATCTTCAAGTTCTTCAAAAAGGTATTTATCTCATTGCAAGTAAGAGACACCCCCCGCCCCCCGGCCAGTCTCCTTGGGGAGCCCTGCCCTGAAAAAGCCTCACACAGTGACAGGAGAAGAACGGATCCCAAACCCAGCCAACTGCCATCCAGGGCCTGGGCTTTTATATCTTCTCTTTGGGGAGGGGAGGTCTTTCTATGCTGGGGAGGAAGGAAAAACTACGGAATAAAGGGCTTGGGCTAGCATGGTCAGTCTGGGTTGCAGCTTACCAAGGAGGAAGCCAAGGTTCTACAGAGACCACGTCTGTGATAACAGAAGCAGCCTGGAGAGGAGGAAGTCCTGACATGAGGTGCAGCCACCTTGGGGACTTGGATGCCCCTTCCTTGCCCTTTCCCTGTCCACTTCCCTGTCTGAGCAGGTCATAGCTAGGACAGAATTCGGGGGAGAAAGGCTGGGGGGGGGGAGGGGGGTATTAGAGAATCAAGTTGCTAGAAGGGATCCAGCCCATTCCTAGAGAGGAGATAGTTCTAGAAGCCGTGGGAAGGTGAGCCACGCTGCTCTGAGTGGACAGAGGCAACGTCCTCTCCGTGGCATAAGTTCACCTCTTTAGCCCAAGCCTAGTCACAGGAGAAAACTGATAAGGGTGATCATAACCCGTTGCTGGCTACAGTAAGATTAGCTTTACAGTAAGTAGATAAGGCGGCAAGTTAAGAGAAGGTGCTCGCGGGCTGTAATTTAATCCCAATAGCGATTCCAACAGCAGAAGGAAGAGAGAGTCCACGTGGGCTAGCAACTCTGGGAACAGATAACAAGGGGCCATCAGAAGGAAGAAGATGGCTGAGAAGCTGTTCTTCCCAAATCTGGGCTCCCTCCACCAATATCAGGCATGGGTTTTGAAATCGAGTCATCTGCTAGCCCCAGGAAAGATCTTTTATGAACACCTGCCCTAACGCCTTCCTAGTACACTGGAGGAGAGCCACAAACAGCATTGCTTTTTGATATCAGGGATTGCTCATGGAACCAGCCGGAGAGGGCTGGCTGAGGGATGTCCTGTGGCACTAGGGAGCCGAATCACTAATGAGACAGCCCCCTCAGTGTGGGACAGAGGTGGCGGCTGTCTGTTCAAGAGCCCATGACTGCTGCCTGTGTGGGAGATAACACTTCCCCAAAGCAAGCCACAGATGGGCAAAGTGCAGGACCACGCTGCTGCACTGGCTGTGTGAGTCGGGCCCTGAGCCTGGTCCTCTGTCAAAAATGGGGGCACCTGTGAGCACCCGCTCCTCACATAGTGCCCACTGTAGGACCGGTGCCCACTCCTCTCTCCAACAACACACCATGGACACAGAAAACCCTGCCTGCTTACCAGGTAGTTGTCCCCATGCTTGGACTTGAGCATACGCGTGACCTCCTGCAGGTTGAGCAGATAAGACTCTTCGGAGCAGCCAGCAGGGAAGGACACGGCAATGATGCGCTCTGTGATGTAGGTAAGGTCCAGCTCATGACCATCCTCCATGGTGGGGCTTAGGGCTGCAAGCCTGTTGGGAGAGAAGAAGGAACAGTAAGCAAATGGGAAAAGGGAAAGAGGACCAACTCTCACCCTCTCGCGTTTCTGCAGGAGAACTGGAATAGCAGGCTATCCTGAGAATCTGACTATGCTACATCTCTGACACATTTCTCCACTCACAGGAGCATACGGGTTCTAAAATCCCCTGCAGGGCATGACTGAGTTGATAATTCCCTGCAGGGCACGACTGGGTTGATACAAGGTATTAGCAGGAAATAAGCAGAGAAGTTCAGAGCAACAGCACAGGGGCTTGTGGAGAAAGCATACTGGGCAACAGGGTGTGGGGACAGGCACCCGTGGAGCTTGGACAGACTGGATCCTTGGAGAGAGACAGCCTCAAACCTCCTGTGAGACATCAGGGCCAGCACAAGGCAGCTAGAGGAAGAGCATTTCATTCAGCAAGGATGGTACGGGCAGCAGCCGGGGCTGTCAACAGCAGTAAGCAGCCCCTATCTGCCTGAAGACATATGGCCAGAGAAGAGGCTAGTGAGGTGGATGGGCTAGATCATGGAGGTTGTGATGAGCCAGGGAGGGGAGGGACCAAGCCGGACCATCATGAGAGAAGATCCAAGGAGGAGTTTTAGTAGTCACATAATCAAAGTGTTTTCCTCTGTTACATAGAAGTTCCTTGGCTTCTATTAGACTGGGTATCTGTTCTATTTAGATTCTGCTAGGACCCAGGGGGTAACCTGTGTGCAGAGTACAGGTAGCTGAGACAGGTGTCCAGGTATGATGAAAACAAGTGGAGGAGAAAGGTGCAGAGAAATAGCAAAGTAATATCCAGCAAGCTGGACTTGAGGACATGGGCAGGGTTGGCTGTGTAAGGACCCAGGAGCCCAAGATGACTCTAGAGACAAGGGCTTCCTGATGCACAGCTTCACCATAATCCCACAGGTCCACAGGGAGGCCCTGAGTCCCTCATTCATGAAGGGCCCCTAATGACTTAAGGACTGAGGGTGGTGCCCACGAGAGGTGGCACTGGGTCAAACCCAAGAAGTGACACTAGGATATGAAACCAGAGTAGGGTCACAGTGTGTCATGGGAAATGTGTTCTGGTCACGGAGAGGTTCCCACCAGTATCGCATTGTTACTGCTGCTGTTATTTCTTTCCCACTCCTGCTACATGTCTCTGTTTCTCCCCTCCCCTCTTCTTTCTGAAAAATTCAAAAACAAAAAACTTGTTTCGCAAGCCTTCACAGATCACCCAACTTTATAATTATCAACACAGGGCCTGGCAAGGGCCAGCCACTGACTGACAATATCCCAGGGGCGTCTTCCACCACTTATTGTCCTGTAGCAGTCTCAGATATTAATTTCCCTTAAAAATCCTGTAGTAATAATTGCTAAGAGAGAAGAGCACTCTTTCATTAAAATGCAATGCCATTATCACACCTAAAAAAAAAGACAGCATAACATCAAATATCCAAAATCATAAATTTGTTCTTTATAGCTGATGTGTGCAAATTGGTGCCCAAACACTTCTCAAGAGCTTTTTAGTTTTCTCTACCTTATTCATCTGATATAGATGCTAAAAGTCTGGATTATTTTTAAAAATCAAATCTGATTTTCTTGAACTCTGATTTTTGAAACAAACAAACAAACAAAAAAATGATGTGCCTCCTGGGGCCATCAGGATTTACAGAGAGGGATTTTTCCTAAGGCTTTGTGAATCACTGGCCAGTGGTAGCATTGGGGCACCTACTTGAAAGGAGCTGTCCTTCAGTGCATTCTAATCAACTCTGGAACCCACGGTAGGAGTTAAGCTATGTGCAGTCAGGTCACAGCAATCACATTCTCTATTGGAAAACAATCATAGTCCAAGAGCAAGCCTGAGACCCCAAGCTACTAGGGAGGCTAAAGCAGGAGGATGGCGAGTTCGAGGCTAGCCTGGGCCAGCCTGTCTCAAAATAAAAAAATAAAAGGACTGAAAATGTGGCTGAGTGGTAGAGCACTTCTGAGTAAATCCTTAATATTGGAAAGGAAAAGAAAGACGATCTTGATATTTCCACAATCCAAGCTCCTCAGACCAGAGATCACATTCAGAAAACAGGCATAAAACCTGATGTGTATCACCTTGATTATTATTTTTTAAAAAACTGAAAAAGAAATTAAGACTACTACAGATAACATCAAGTCCAAGTCTCCCCTCTGAAGATGAATCCACCCCCAGAGACACAGGAGGGTTACCCAGGGGACACTCACCGCAAAGGCTTATCACAGCACAGAGAAGACGACGGAGTGGAGCTCCCCGGAGCCTGCAAATAACAAGACATGAATCATTTTGATGTTTCCTTCCCCACCAGCCCACATGGCACTTACACCACTGAGAAGGGACAATGACAGCTGTCCTACAGTTTAATCATCAATGGTAAGTCAAACATTGACACTATTGCCTTAGCACCTGCAGGAAAAGGTCACTATCCTATTAGGGTTTTTCAGGCCACACAGTGACGTGTTTCCATGAACTGGCAGCAGGACAGGGCTTGCACAGGGGGACAGAGACTACCCTCCAGCCAGGGCAGGTCAGGCAGAAACCAGTTTTGCTCTCCTGGGCAGGAGGTGACCAATCAACTGCAGCCATTTCTTCTATTGGCAATGTTGTTTACTTCAAAGAATCAATTAATGAAGGACTTTTGGGAGCTCTCGATTACATTTAGTCTTTTTTAATGTGCCCATCCTACAGAGAGAAAAGCTGCAGGTTATGGTCACTGTACAGTTTCCAGCATGCATGAGCCAGGGGTGTGTTATACACTGAGGTCAGGAGTGATTGCTAGCAACTTAATGAGTAAAAATGATTTCCAGCATTTTAGAAGTCAGGAGTCTGGGGCTCAGAGAAGTAGAGGTCACATCAAAGATTATACGAGTAGATGAAGAAGAGCAGACACTGCACATCGCTCTGGAATACTCTTCCCGTCACAAGCCAGGTGACAATTCAGTAAGGGAGCACACGGCCTGTCTCACAGACACAGGCTTTTAATCACCTCTCTGTATCCCACTGACACTGGTCAAGAGACACCTCAGATACCCCTAACTTACACCCGGTACTCCTCAGTCAGTGTAGTGAGCAGACAGAAAGTGAATCCTCCTGGAATCATCCAACCCAAAGTTAAACCAGCTCCAAAACCAGAGATGATCACCTCAGCCTCCCAGACAGAAGCAAGAATAGCACACATTCTGCTGTACACCAAGGTACAGGGGAGCCTTCCTATATCCTCATCACCGGAGCTCCTTCCCCCTGGGTGAGCCCAGGCCACACCTCTGCTTGGTCCCTCCCTTTTGAAGTAAGGACAATATTAGGACCAGCCTCACAGGACTGTTCGGAGGTCACTGAGATCATTCCCATCAAGGCTTGGAACTCTGCTTGCCACCAGATGACCCCACAGGTCAAACCTGGCCCAGCAGGTTCTTGAGCCTACATGCCCTGCCACCCTGACGTCAGAGTCCACCCTCCCCTGTGCCCAAAAAGCCATGGGAAGCTCAAGGCAGGTTCTGCTGATCCTACTGAATCCCTGACCTAAAGCCTCTCAGGGCTCAGCCTAAACAAAGTCAAACAAGATTTTTTTTTTCCTATTAGAACAGCAAAAACAGAAATTTTAAAAAAGGTTTTTATAAGCACTGGTGAAATACAAACTGACTAGTTTTGCATATAATTAGTGTATATAAAAGGCATTTAGAATATAAAAGGCATTTGGAAGCATGTGACCCATCAATGCAAGAAACAGATCATCAGGAAAGGACTGGTACTGACAAGGGTGCCCACTGCACCAGCATTCATATGGCTGCAAAAGGCAGAGAGTCAGCTAAGAGTTGAGCATTATGTCTAGATTAAATGAGTAAAAGAGGCCCAAGAGGAAACTGCAGCTCTGTAGAAGATGATGGATGTGCTGACTTGTCTGAGAAACATGACAGCAAACGGGGCTGCCAAAGCTGAGGATGGCCCATCAGCAAAGAAAGAAGAGCACAGATGGGGTCACTATTGATAAATCCATCATGCAAATGGAAAATGTCTAGGTTGAAAATGCACCGAATCCACCTAGCCCTGCATACATCCTGGTTTAGCGACACAGCAAAATCAGATTTGATTCTTAAAAATAATCCAGACATTTAGCATCTATATCAGATCATGTCAGTCATATCCCCTCATGACCTCATGTCTGACTGGAAGCCCGTGTGGCTGCCAATGTCCAGCATTCTCGAGAGATGGTCAGACAACCTATCGCTAGCCCAGGAGAAGATCCAAATTAAAAATGCAAATTAAAAAGTGCTGGGCCTGGTGGCGCACACCTGTAATCCCAACAGCTCAGGAGGCTAAGGCAGGAGGATCACAAATTCAAAGCCAGCCTCAGTAAAAACAAGGCACTAAGCAACTCAGTGAGACCCTGTCTCTAAATAAAATACAAAATAGGGCTAGGGATGTGGCTCAGTAGTCAAATGCCCCTGAGTTCGATCCCAGGTATCCCCCCCTAAAAAAATGTGAAGTAAGGTTACTATAAATGTATTTCACTTCAACAACAACAAAAAAAAGCATAAAGTCCAACCATTACCAGTCCAGCCATCACTTAGTCCAACCATCGTAAGTCGGGACTGTGGGCATATGATTCACACACATATACACTCACACTTACAGGCACATGTGGACACATGGCCAGAATGCAGGCTAATTCTGAAATGTATCATGACATCATGTCCTTCTTATTTTTCTTCTACATGCATTCTTCCTTTTCTACTAGGAGCACAGATTATGAGTCAAATGGAGAGAGAAAGCCACCATGCCTACAGCCAGCCTTGAGGCAGTCCCAGCTCCCAGCAAGGCATCCAGTCCTCTTGCTCACCATCAAGGGGCTGTTCATGCCCTCTGTCCCAAATTAGATGACTCCTGGGCAAGGAAGTTAAAAAAGGGTACTGTCGAAATGTCTTGAAACTGGAGCGTTCTCACCAAACTAGAACACTCACATTCAAACTCTGTGCTGGCTGAGAGGATACAGTGGCTTGAAGAGGGCCCTTGCCTGAAGCTGTAGTCCAGCCACACCACCTGGATGTGCCACCCCAGAGCAGCTTGCCTCACTGCCCCAACCCCTTCCTCTCAGCTCCATCCACAAGACGGTTTCCCAAGGTGATATCACCTCTCTTGGACTCAGCACTAATCCTGGTCAATCACCCAAATCACTGGCACAGTCAGGGATTTTGTCATTTTGCAACCAAGGGACTACAATCATTGCCCTGTTGGAGAATGGGTGACCTCCAGACTCTACAGTTACTACACAACAAAATCAATGAGTTAATGAAGGAATGACAGAAAGAATGAATAAATACCTGGGACCCAGGCTCTGGAGCTGCACTGTATCTGGGCTGGAGCCACCACCCTAACCATCAGTTTCCTCATCTGTAAAATGGGCAGATGTGAGAGCTCAGGTAATACACATATAACTGATGATGAGAGCTCAGCAATTAGTAAGAAGACACTGAATTTTAGCTAAAACACACTGGGTTTTAGCACAGGGCCCTACTGAGTGTAGTGAAATGCATTCAGTTCCCAAGAAGGCAAGATAATGATATGCTAGGAGTCTGTCTAATTTAATGTATAGTAAGGCTAAATTTAAAACTCCTAAGATGCAATCATAATATAACTAATCCCCCCACACACAAAAATTCTTAACCAAAGGGTTCTGCTTACATCAAAATAAAGTTCCATAGTTTCTAAAGGCCTCAAGCAGAAAATGGCCTGGGTTTGAACTACGAAGGTCCTAGATCACAGATGAGCTTGTCGCAATGTGACCATAGGCTCTACGCCTGCTCAGACGCACACCCAAAATACAGTCATTAATCTAGCAAGGCCATATCAAAACCCAATGCTATGTTTCAAATACGGTTTGTCCCCACCAACTTTCACATTAAAATTCAGTCCTCATTGTGAGGTATAAAGAGGTGGGACCAAGCAGGACCTTCAGGAGATGATTAAAGCTCAGCCTTCATGAATGGATTACTTCACTCATGGATTAATGAATCAAGTGGTTATCTGGAAAGTGGATCTGCTCTTACAGGCAATTTGGCAGTTTCCTGGATGTGACGCCTCCTCTCACCATGTGACACCCTGAACTGTCTCAGGACTCTGCAGAGAGTTCCTGATAGCAAGAGGACCCTTACAAGAGGCAGCCCCTTGACCTTGGACCTCCAGAAGCTTCAGCTGAACAAACCTATTACCCTCTATAAATTACCTAGTCTGTGGCATTCAGTTCTAGAACAGAAAACAAACGAAGACACCCACGGACTCTATCTCTTCAAGTATTTTTTAGTTTCAGAGCTTAAATAATTTTGAATAATACTGTTGTGTAACATCAACAGACATTACAATAACTCACTGGCCAAATTGCTTAATATACAGAGAAGATTTGTGACTGTTAAATACTGGCACCAGCATGACAGCGTATGGAGGTTGCCATCCTCCCTTACACAGAGCCCTGGAGGTGGATCAAAGGGCAAAGGGTCTGAGGATGCACAAAGAAGTGGGTGTCCCTGAGGGAACCCAAGGCTAGTTCCTCAGTTGCAGAATGAGAGGAGCCATCAGACAGGGGCAAAGACTGTTCTGTTCCAATATCCTCTGAGAGCCAGGCACAGTGGTGCACACCTGAAATCCCAGTGACCCTGGAGGCTGAGGCAGGAGGACAACAAGTTCAAAGCCAGCTTCAGCAACTTAGCAAGGCACTTAGCAACTCAGTGAGACCCTCTCTCTAAATAAAATACAAATAAAAGGGGGCTGGGATGTGACTCAGTGGTTAAGTACCCCTGAGTTCAATCTCTGGTACCAAAAAAAAAAAAAAAATCCAATATCCACTGAGAATGACTATGCTCAAAACCTGAAAGCATGCACATTGCAACCACTGCCACATAATTAAAAAAAAATCAAGAATTATATAATAGCAAAGGTTGAGGCCAACAGGAGGAAACTTAACTGTGTGCCACCACTGGAGACCCTATATCTTGAGTCAGCACAAAGTCAGGAAGAGCATCAAATTACATAAGGGTCACCTAAGCAAAGCATTTCACAATAAAAGCTCCACACAAGGTGCATATACCCACCTCCTGCCCAGGACAACACCCAGAGGAACACCTTTCCCAACTTCTACAGGGGGGACAGGGGGAGGAGCAGGAACTCAGCCTACCCCCATACAGCCTACTTCTGAAGCGAGCCCCTGTGCACCTGAGGACCATCCCTCCAAGGTCACAGAGAACTGGATACTCACACACACCCCAGCCC